AACACCTCACTATGATTCCACAGCTTCAACGCTTTTTGCCTTTACATTCTAAACTCTAAATATTAACTTCTAAACTAAATGTGTCAGTTGATCTGGTTTACAACAACTAAGTGTTTCAACTGAAAGTGTGTCCTGAGAGAAAAATACAAATTCAAGTATTCCAGCAAAAGCAAAGACAAATCCCTGATAACACAATCCCGAACATTCAAAAGTGATGTAGCACTAAGTGCAACGGAACTTAAACACATATAAGAATAAGTCATTAAAATATTGATAAAGAATGGCTACATGTACAACAGATAAAAGGACTTCCAGATTTATCAAGTTTAGAACATATATTATGGAAAGAAATAACCAGGGAAAATGAAGTGAGTATAATTACTGAAATTATATGAAGGCAGGGATTCTAATTAAGATGCTCACAGGGCACAGTGAAACATAGGTGAGCAAATTGGGGGGGGGGGGGATTGATTTTCTAGTCTCAGTACATTTTCAGAGCCTCAACAGTTTATCTAGCTAAAGGTGAGTAAGAGGTGCGCATGCCTTGTTGAGGTTGCTCTTGGAGGCTTCCAAGAGCTGAAATTCTCATTTTGACCTAAAAAAGAAAAGCTAGGTGAGGGATACATAAAGAAGCTTTTGAGGGGCACACACACTGCTGCTCTAAATTGAACATCCCATCTGTCATAGTCAGCTATTTGACTAATTTCTTTTTGTTTCTTAATTACTGCACATAGTACTTTCAAGGACCTCTTAAAGATCTAAATAACAGCCTTCTTTTAGAGAAGGATCAAGAATGTTTTTTTTTTCTAATTATGAAATGACAAGAGTCCAAAACAGCCCACACTCCCATCAAGAGCAACTGCAGATCCCACCGGATATATATGTACATCTCCCACATTTCCAGATTCTGAATGCAGAATCTGGAAATGTGTATGTGTTTCAATCTAGGAGAGAGACACTTTTCCATTAAAAGCTATTCGTATTCTTGGGGGGGGGGGGGGGGGGGGGGGGGGAGACCAAGGAGAAATGTTTAACAAATTCCAAATAAGACATTTTAAAATTCCAAATTGGATTTTTAAGTTTAACATGCACAATCTGAAGCCTACACTATTTTCTTGGAAGGGATAAGTGTTCCTAATACTCAATAGTACTATATTCTTTCTACAGGTGAGCCCCAATTTATGGTAATTAAACTTCACCTTTTTCAAGGAAGAGAGAGAAAGGTTTCGCCCACAATTCATAGCTCTCTCAACACGCCTGTGCACTTGAGCAAGGCCAGAGGGGCAAGGAAATGAAGTTGAGGCAAGGAAACAAGACTGTTCAGAGTTTTGGCATGAAATTCTGAGGATCAAGAAAACATGACTGATCCTCTTTTACCTGTCTAGGTTGAGAAAGGGAAAGGATACAACTGCAATCTCGACATTACTCAAAATAATGGTTTCCCTTTTGTCTGCTTAGAAGCAGGAATCTGAGGGGGAGGGGGGAACTCAAATCTTGCTGTCATTTGATAGTACCTTTGCCTATTTAAAAGATACATCAGGTGGAGGAAGAAACTGCAATCTTAGATCTAAAGGGAGCTTCCTCTATATATTGGAGCTACAGAAAAATGGAAGACTGTAAAAACCTGTAACAGCAAATGAACTATCTCTACTGCCCTTGTGCTCTCTGCACCTGCTGCAGAAGACACAGCAAACAAGCTGCTTCCCTTTCTTTGTTTTCTCCATGTGGAACCCTGTTAGAGATGGCAAAGTGGAAAAAAACAGTTCTTAACAGTTACTTTCTGTATGCCCCTATGGAGAGGACATCATCTTGATGCAAACCAGATCTCCCCAGCCAAGCCCCCTTGGTATCAGAAACTTCTGCCACTTTGGGTCCTCTGGACAACCATCTCCACTTCTCTAGCATGCAAAAGGTTAGGTTCTGATGTTTTGTGCTTTAAACCTCTAAGATTAGCAGTAGGTTGAGTAAAACCACTCACTCTATTACTATTTCCTTTCTGTTAGACTATATCCCCCCAATCTCAAAGGATTTCTTGTAGAATATTTATGTCCACCTCAAGTTACATTGTGAAGTACAGGAAATCAACCTCCAAGTAAGTCAGGACCCATGTGATCCTATGATTTTTTAAAGACTAAAACAAATTTACTCACTCACTTCAAATTAATTATTTTCAAGAAAACCCCTTCGGATGAACGTTTTGTCTCTCTGTTTAGTCTGCAACCATGAATTTACTCACACACAGCTTGAGAAAAAAACCCAATGCACAAATCTTGATTTCATCATTTTATATAGGGACCATTGTTTTAATATGTCATTGTATATAATGTGACTTGAGCATCCTCCGATTTTGGAATACATTGTGTATGTTTACACAGGTCTGGAACCAAACCCCAATGGATCCCAAGGGACCACTGTATTAATATATCCATGACAGAAAGAAGATCACGCTAGCCCAGGTACGGGCGAACTTTGACCCTCCAGATGTTTTGAACTTCAACTCCCAAATATCCCGGCCAGCTTACTGGCTGTTAGGAATTGTGAGAGTTGAAGTCCAAAATACCTGCAGGGCCAAAGTTTGCCCATGCCTGCACTAGCCTAGCCTCACACAAGACATTTATTTTTCTAAAATGAATGTTATGAAAGTAATACAAACAACATTAAGATACTGATACTTTCATATATTGCACTCTTGCTATCATTTTCTTTCTTTCTTTTCAAACCGAACATACCACTGATGTTTCAGGTGACAAGTAAAATGCACAGTAACTAAAATATACATCTGTGTGACAGATAAATGTATAACTAGCAAATACTAAGTGTCCATTATTTTGCTGTCATGTGAGAAAAGCATCCCATCGGTAATGATGCTGGGTACTGATATCTCATCCTCTTATTATGTTACTATAATAATTTCTAGCTATTCCAGAGCTAGAAAAAAGACTAACAACTACTCTGATCTGAAAAGAAACAGCTTTGGAGAACAGTGCAGGAAGGTGGGCACACATGGCACCCAAAAACTGAATCACTGTACCGTACTATTGAAGTAGCACTATTCCCGTAGGACCAGGGGCCCTTACATACAACCCTATATCCCAGAATATCAAGGCTGAAAATCCCACATTATCTGAGTGTGGACTCAGATAAACCAGTTCAAAGCAGATATTGTGGGATTTTCTGCCTTGATATTCCGGGTATATGGCTACTTTTTCACTTTTCTAAGAGATGGAATGCATCTACACAAACCCAATAATTGATTCAAAAATTGAATTCATCCCTTTGGTTGAAAGAGGCTTCTTATTCTTTTAGTAAGGATTACAACACAGACCCCTTTGAGGAAAACTTAACCCAAACTTAACTAGTCCACCTAGCTTGTCATTAGCCCATTTTCTGTAGAATATGTAAATACGTATCACAAATCACTCAGAAACCTGCTATAAAACAGTTCTTTGTTAATCTATTGTTCTATTTGTTAATGTTGTTCTGCTTTAAATATTTTTACTGTTATGCTTCACTGTTCCTCCAAGTAAGCCATAGCAGCACACCTGTTTTTTTAATACAACCACCCTGAATGTTGGGTTTGGTTTTAATAAAAAGCAACAAGACAGAGTGGGTGATCTGAAATCCACCTCTCTAGTTCTATGTTTTGTAATGTTATAACGCTGCTGAAGTGAGGTGCACTTATTTTTTTAAAGTATTTTCATTTTATTTCACTCATCTCAAGGCATAGTTCATTACAAGCTACAGTAACAGATTGCTCTGTTTAGGCAACATAATGGTGGAGAAATAGAGGTACCAAATGTTTCTATAATTTCTAAAATGAGACCAGGTCTACAAAACTTTTTTGCAGATCAGTATGTTTACCCTAAATTCCTTGACATGTAGGTTAGATGAATCCTCCACACCAGGCTATTTGCAGGACAATGGCAGCATACTGTTTTCTCAAAGCAATAACACACCACTATTTGAAGTTACCAATGATACATTTTCAGCACCGTATGTTCTAAGTGTCATTATTCCGTGAACTTATGTAAAGAAAATAGTTAGAAAAAGAAGGCTCAAATATAGAATGTGCTCAAGTATTTTTGTTGTTATATTGTTCACGTTCAACTCCTGGCTTACAATCTACAGTAGGGGTGTCAAACTCATTTTCACTAAGGGCCACATCAGCCTTATGATTGCCTTCAAAATGTTGTTTGCAATTGTAAGACTGTATAACTGTAACTATTTTTCCCGGACATTGAAGCCTCATGGGTATCAGACCAAAGTGTACAGTAATTTCATGGATCTAACAAGGACCAGTGCTTCCATTGCCATTCAGAGACAACTCTCCCAGCTCAGTCCATGAACCACCACTGCCCAAACTAGTAAGGATGATGGAATAGGTAATCCATGTGTTGGGTGGTGTTTACCTCAAACTGTGCTCCAGCACACAAAGGATAAGTAACAATGCTTTCTACCAGAGCTTAAAATACTATAGATTTCAATAAAGTTTAAAAATTTACCAATTGGCACTTTTAGTTAAAAACCCAACCTTTCACTTTTCAAAACAAATAATGAAAGCATTATAAATCTACCTTCCATCAATTTTAAAGAACATTGGTAACGCCTTATTTTTGAATGGTCTATGTTGGTGTAACTTATACTGATCAACATTACTGATTTTCAATCCGCACTAAGAAAATTTCAACTTTGGCAATGCAGTATGTATAAGTGAAAGACATTATACATAACAAAATGACATGGAAAATTTAAAGGAAGCACTGTGGCCTGTTTAACCTTTGGCTACTCATTCAGGAGGCCTTGTATTGGTAATAGTTAAAAAACCAAGATCTATAGTACAGCCTATGAAAACAGAATAAACAAAAGTCTATGAGCTTATTTCCCTTTCTGGTAGTGTTATAACTAGCCTGAACTACTGCTGAGGAATCATGTGTTGTATTCTGATGCATGCACTGGAAGCTAGCAGTATTGTAAGAAAAATTCAGTTAAGATTAACTCACCACCATCCCTCTCTCTAACTCTGTGAGTATGCATGCTTTTAGCTTTACTGTGTCCAGTGCTGTCACCATATTTGTTTTCAGGACTATCAGAGCGCCGCAACATTTTATTTGGTGGTGAAGGGTCTGTGGTGTCTCGCATCTTCTCATGCCGATGATCACCACCACTGGGGTGACTCTTTGATGAGTATTTAAGAGCCTGAAAGAAATTACAAGACAAATACAGAATTCTAAGTTGTGTCTTGGTAGCCAACAAAGACTTTATGACAAATACTTTTCCTCTCCGGGCCTTTATTTTTATAACATCAGACGAACAACTATTGATATCAAAATAGGTCATGTGGCACCTGCAAAAGGCTTGTGGTAGCCTAATCAATTTTTTTAACTCTTCCCATCACCACCTGAACCACACTATACCACCCACAAACTCTTTTTGAAACATCGGGCTGGCAAACCTACAGACCTAAACAAATGGTCTACAGTACTCATCTTGACTGAATTTCCCAATTGTACAGGGCCTGTCAAAAATTACTTTACCAACTTAACAGATAATGCTTTACTGTGAGTTTTTTTTACAAGTTGGTTTCTTGGTTCGGAAGATGTTTTAATGTGCTCCCTCCCCTTTTCTTCTGGATATTTTTCTCTTCCATGATTTGCTTTAACAGTGATTGCCGTTGTCTTTATTTAAGCCATTCCTAATTTATAGCACCTTTAAGGTGGACCTGTCACAGACATGTTTGGCAGGACTTCTTCAGAGGGAACCCACTTCTACTGAAACTTATCAAGGCATAGCTGAGTATGCTTTCCTTCAATCACTTCCATTTTCCTTTTAAAAACATCTAAACACTATTATCAGTATTCAAGTTCTATGATGACATCTCTAGGTAGATTCCTGTAGGTTAATACTTTTTGCTATTTTAGAAGGCAATAATCAAGACACTGTGCACTACAAATGAAGTACAATAACATTGCTTTTCTTGCAGAGAACAGTAAAGGTTTCTATTTAATTAATGAAAAGAAGCTTTAAAAACCTTTTACTACTAGTTTTAAATATGTAAGCCTCTCGCTGTGTGCTGCTACCTCACACAAGGCACGTAAAGATTAGATTTCAATCAGTAGGACCTTTATGAAATAAAAATGTTTGTGGTGTATTTTTCCTAGACTACAATTTCTGAAGAGGGACTAATAATTGCTCAGGAATAAAAGGGATATTAGGTGCACATGTTACAACTGCTGTGCATTTATTTAATAGCCACAGCAACCTGTGTCCACCAAATATAACATTCTGTAAGCACACTTTCGTGTGTTGAATGTTTTCATCAGGCTCCAGTTGTCAAAATCTTTATACACACCCATTTTTGGATAAATAAGTCAAACAGTCCTAATTCCAACCACTTCCTATTTTTTGCTATTATCCCATTAGCAAGTACAGGTTCAGCATTCCTTATCCCAAATTCCAACAGACCCCAAAATCGTCCTCGCAAGTGACTTCTCTAATTTCTGATGATTCAATGTGCACAAACTTTGTTTCATACACAAAATTAGTCAAAACTTTAAAGTATTGTAAAATTACCTTCGGGCAATGTGTATAAAGTGGGTATGAAATAAAAATAAATTCTGTGTTTGGACTGGGATCCCAGCTCCAAAATATCTCATTATGTATCTACCTGCAAAGACAGGTATTTCAGTATCTGAATTCTAATATGCTTCTGGTCCCAAGCATTTCAGACTGCAAGTACACTACAGAATTAATGCAGTTTAACTGCCATGGCTAAATGCTATGGAACCCTGGGTTCTGGAATTTGGCGAGGCACAAGAACTCTTTATTGTGCTGGTGACAGAACAAACTACAACTCCCAGAAGTCTGCAGCATTGAACCAGGGCAGTTCAAGTGGCGTCAAACCACATTCATTCTATAGTACAGGTGCACTGCTTGATGAGGGATGCTCAAGCTGTATTTTTTAAATGGGTACCACAATGTATTCCTAATTTAAAACCGCCTCACTGACAGGACTCCATCTACACTGCCTTATAAGGTGGTTTGAGACAGCATCATATGGCCAGTGTAGACCATAAAACGGGGATGCTTTGAATGAGATTTTCCTGCTACTTGGGAGGGTTGGACTGGATGGCCCACAAGGTCTCTTCCATCTCTATAGTTCTATGATTGTAGACCAGGCATGGACAAACTTCAGCCCTCTAGGTGATTTGGACTTCAACTCCCACACTTCCTAACAGCCTACCGGCTGTCAGGAATAATGGAAGTTACTGGCTGTCAGAAATTATGGAAGTTGAAGCCCAAAACACCTGGAGGGCTGAAGTTTACCCATGCCTGATATAGACTTATATAGATTATCACATTACACTGTTGAAGCACTGCTGTTCCACTTTAAATCCTATGACAGCCCCCTGTGGAATTCTGGCCTTTGTACGTAATGAGGCCCAGGACACATCCAGTTTGGAATTTTGAAGACCCCTCCCTAAAGTGCACATCCCAGGAATCCAGAGGCGGCAGGCATGGGATTTAAAGTGGAATAACAGCACTCTTAACAGTGTAGTGCAGGCATGTGCAAACTTTGGCCTGGCAGGTGTTTTGGACTTCAACTCCCATAATTTCTAAGAGGGCCAAAGTTTGCACATGCCTGTTGTAGTGAGCTCAGCTGCACTGAATGAATGTACCCTGACCATATGATACAGTCTGAAACTGCATGAGAAGCTGCAGTGTAGTTGGGGGCCAGGAAAGGGCGGTGGCAAGGGACAACAACAGTTCTCTTGGATAGAACTTACCCTTTATTAAATTTGAGGAGAGGGTTAGAAATAAATAAGGGGAGGCAGTTTTAATTTCTAGCCCAGGCATAGGCAATCTTTGGCCTATGTGTTTTGGACTTCTACTCCCATCATTCCTAACAGCCACAGGCCCTCCTTTCCCCCCTCAGCCACTTAAGTGGCCAAGGGAGGAAAGGAAGGGGCCCGAAGTTATAAGGAGCTATGAGAGTGTAAATCCAAAAGACATGGAGGGCCCAAGTGTGCCCATGTCTGATGTAGGCACACCGCTGGACACTACCTGAACTGCCATGGCTGTTAGGAATGGTGGGATCTGCAGTCCAAAACACCTGGAGGGCCAAAGTTTGCCCATGTCATTGAATTTATGCTGTTGGACACCACTTGAACTGTCATGGCTGTTAGGAATGGTGGGATCTGCAGTCCAAAAGACCCGGAAGGCCGAAGTTTGCCCATGTCATTGAATTTATGCAGTCGGACACCACTTTAACTGCCATGGCTGCTAGGAATGGTGGGATCTGCAGTCCAAAACACCAGGAGGGCCGAAGTTTGCCTGTGTCATTGAATTTATGCAGTCGGCCACCACTTGAACTGCCATGGCTGTTAGGAATGGTGGGAGCTGCAGTACAAAACACCAGGAGGGCCAAAGTTTGCCTGTGTCATTGAATTTATGCAGTTGGACACCAATGGCTGTTAGGAATGGTGGGAGCTGCAGTTCAAAACACCAGGAGGGCTGAAATTTGCCCATGTCACTGAATTTATGCAGTCGGCCACCACTTGAACTGCCATGGCTGATAGGAAGGGTGTGATCTGCAGCCCAAAACACCAAGAGGGCTGAAGTTTGCCCATGATATTGAATTTATGCACCACTTGGAACTGCCATGGCTGTTAGGAATGCCTTTTCTAACCTATTGCCTCACACTGCTGTGTTAATTTAAAGGGGGGGGGAACGCCCCCTCCTCCCAAAAAGAAAAAAAGACCCATCTACGGGTCTTTCCAGACAGACCCTCTATCCCAGGCTCAGACCCTATATCCCAGGATCTGATCCCAGGTGGTCTGCTTGAAACTGGGTTATAGGAGCCCGCACTGCAAGATAGTCCGGGATAAACAGCAACGACCTGGGCTCAGATCCGGGGCGCTAGGCCTCTCCCGCTCCCCCCTTCCCGTTGGAGGCCGCCCCTTCCTCCCTCCTTCCCTCCCCTTGTTCGCGCGGCCCAGGAAGCAGGCCGAGGCCCTTTGCGGCCTAGAGCGGCGGGCCAAGCCTGCGCTGGAGTAGCTGCGGCCGGCCCTCCTCCCACACTCCGCTGCGGCGGCGAAGGAGGTACCTGGTAGGGCTGCGAGTCCCCCTTGCGGTCGTGACAGCTGAAGGGAGAGAAAAAAGAGAAACAGTGGCGTTAGCGAGAGAGTGGCCGTTACTGGCGGTTGGGAGAGAGGGAGGGAAGGGGGGGCGAGGAAGATGGAGGACGGGGGCTTATTTACCCATCATTGAGTCTTTGCTGTTTCCTCGCATACATTACCATCAATGCCCGGCCTGTGAGAGAGAGACTGAGGGGACCAGGAGGAGGAGGAGGAGGAGGAGGGCGCGGCTGGGCCACGGACGGGGAAGGAAGGAAGGAGGAAGGGGAGGGAGGAGGAGGAGGAGGAGAGAGGCCCAGCGGCGCTCACGGGCCCATCGCCTCGCCGCCCAACGGAACGCAACGCGGAAACGCAACGCAGAAGGAAGGCAGGAAGGCGACGACGACGACGACGTCTCCCCCCTCCCGCCGCCGCCACCACCGTCTCCTCCCCCCTCCTCCTTCCTCCTTCCTCCTCCTCCTCCTCCCTCTCCCTCAGTCACTGCTCCCAACACTACCGCCGTCCAACTACATCCGGGAAACTCAAGCGACGACGCCTTCGCCAAACGTCGGCTCCGCTCGGCTCTTTCCGCCCAAGCTCCTCCCTCTCCGCCGCCTGCCTTCCTCTTTTCGCGGCTTCGCACTTCGGGTATCCTCGGCCGCTTCCGGACACCAGCCGATCCCTCCTCCTTCGGGTTTGAAGAAGACACGCCTTCTACTAATCTTCGGTATTTTCCGGACCAAGCCCTGCTTTTCGGGCGACGTCGGCTCTCTCCGCTCCTGCCTTCTTCGCCGGGGAAAGGCATCGGGTGTTTCCGGAAAGAGCCGAAAAACGGGCGAAGACTAATAATAATAATAATAATAATAATAATAATAATAATAATAATAATAATAATAATAATAATAATAATAATAATAATAATAATGTCTTGTCGAAGGCTTTCATGGCCGGAATCACTGGGTTGTTGTAGGTTTTTCCAGGCTATATGGCCATGTTCTGGAGGCAATTTTTCTCCTGACGTTTCGCCTGCATCTATGGCAAGCATCCTCAGAGGTAGTGATGTGACCTTACAATCAAAGAGCATTCTGAACTCCACCAACAATGGAATTGAACTAAACTTGGCACAAGGGACTCCCATGACTGGGCACCACAATGGAAGGGAGATGTTGACAAGCTGGAATGTGCTCAGAGGAGGGCGACAATATTGATCAAGGGTCTGGAGAACAAGCCCTATGAGGAGCAGCTTAAAGAGCTGGATATAGAATCATAGAATCATAGAGTTGGAAGAGACCTCATGGGCCATCCAGTCCAACCCCCTGCCAAGAAAGAGGAATATTGCATTCAAAGCACCCCTGACAGATGGCCATCCAGCATCACAGCTAGCCCCAGCAGACAAAAGTCCTTTGTCACCCTGGTCATTCCACAGATATATAAACCCATTTTTCCTACTTCCAACAGACCTCACTACCTCTGAGGATGCTTGCCATAGATGCAGGCGAAACGTCAGAAGAAAAATTGCCTCCAGAACATGGCCATATAGCCCGGAAAAATCTACAACAACCCAATAATAATAATAATAATAATAATAATAATAATAATAATAATAAAAAAACTTTATTTATACCCCGCTACCATCTCCCCATGGGACTCGGTGCGGCTTACATGAGGCCGAGCCCACAATACAGCAATACAAGCAAAACAAGCAATAACAAATACAATTGTTGTTCATTTGTTCAGTCGTCTCCGACTCTTCGTGACCTCATGGACCAGCCCACGCCAGAGCTCCCTGTCGGCCGTCACCACCCCCAGCTCCTTCAGAGTCAAGCCAGTCACTTCAAGGATGCCAACAAATACAATACAAGGCAATTAAATGATGATTATGATAATAAAAACAATCGGTGCTGACAAAATTACCCTCTGTCTTGTTTACTGTGTACTAATCTTGTTGTGTATCGAATAATAATAATAATAATAATAATAGCATATAATAATAAGTGGTCCCAGTGGTGATCAGCACACTGGGTGCAGTGCCTAAAGACCTTGGCCTGCACTTAAATAATAATAATAATAATAATAATAATAACTTTATTTATACCCCACCACCATCTCCCCAAGGCTCTCGGAGCAGCTTACATGAGGCCAAGCCCAAAAACACATCAAAACAACAAGACCTTGGACTGCACTTAAACACAATAGGCGCTGACAAAATTACCATCAGTCTTGTTTACTAAGTGCTAATCTTGTTGTGTACATAATAATAACAATAACAATAATAGCATATAAGAAGAAGAAGAAGAAGAAGAGGAGGAGGAGGAGGAAGAAGAGGAAGAAGAAGAAGTGGCCCCAGTGGTGATCGGCACACTGGGTGCAGTGCCTAAAGACCTTGGCCTGCACTTAAACACAATAGACGCTGACAAGATTACCATCTGCCAACTGCAGAAGGCCACCCTACTGGGATCTGCAGACATTATTCGTTGATACATCACACAGTCCTAGACACTTGGGAAGTGTCTGACGTGTGATCCAATACAACAGCTTGCAGAGTGATCTTGTCTGCTGTGGACTCATCTTGTTGTGTTTCAAATACTAATAATAGCAACTGGAAAAGCTTACACAATATGAAGATCGAACTACAAAGACTCTGGCACAAGCCAGTAAAGGTGGTCCCACTGTTGACTGGCATACGGTGCAGTGCCTAAATACCTTTGCCTGCACTTAAACACAATCAGCGCTGACAAAATAATCATCTGTCAGCTGCAAAGGACCATCCTACCTGGATCTGCACACATTATTAGCTGATATATCACACAGTCCTAGGCACTTGGAAAGTGTCCGGTGTATGATCCAATACAAAAGCCAGCAAAGTGATTTTATTTGCTGTGTACTAATCTTGTTGTGTATCTAATCATTACCATCTTCTTCTTCTTCTTTATTTGTAACCACCCTATCTCCCTGAGGGGACTCAGGGCGGTTTCCAGAACAGAAGTGGCAAACATTCGATGCCATAATTAACAAACAAAAGGAAATTATTTATGTATCTATTTTATTTATTTATTTGTATCCCACTTTTCTCCTGTGGGTAGGATTCAAATCGGTGTACAAGGGTTAAAAATGACAAAACTGCATATCATAAAAATACAAAAAAAAATTCATGTAAGCAAAACAAACAGAAATACACATGTCAGCCAAATTAAACAAATTAATACATTAAAACATTAAACCATTAAAAAAATATCCCTGACCCTCAGACAATTAAAGGAGTTATTCTATACATAAATAAATAAATAGCGTCAATATAAACTTAAACGGTAATCCAAAAATAATTAAAACAAATAATCCTCAAGGTACACATTTACATCATAATAAAATCTACATAGTTAAAATATATTAGAAGTATAAAATGAGAATGAGTGATGTTGTATAAAATAATGTGATGATGATGTAGAACAGCCAAACAGCGCCAGAGTGGATTTCCAGTGTCCAAACGAGGTTATGTATTAAGATGTTCTAATCCTCCTCCTCTCCACAAGCTAACGTAATGTATGAGGATGATGATCTATATCAGGCATGGCCAAACTCCCCCCTCCCCAGGTATTTTGGACTTCAACTCCCACAATTCCTAACAGCTGGTGGGCTGTTAGGAATTGTGGGAGTTGAAGTCCAAAACACCCGGATGGTCCAAGTTTGTCCATGGCTAATATATATTATCATAAAATAATAATAATAATAATAATAATAATAATAAACTTTATATCACGCTCCCTCTCCAAAAGGATTCAGGACGGCTTACAACAAAATTAAATCATAACACATACATGAGCAAAAGCAAAAAGACAGGACATCACATATAACCAACGATCACAAGCAGGTTAAATTAACATAACAGTATCACAATAAATACACAGCTTAAAAATTTGCACTGGGTTTAAAAACATAATCGCACCTTGGAGGCAAAACCAGTTAAAACCAAATGGATGATGACTACTTAATATGACCACCATCATATTAAGTAGTCATCATCCGTTTTCGGAAGCCTGCTTCCACATCCAGGTTTTTAGTTCTTTTCTAAACATAGCTAGAGAGGGAGCCTGTCTCATTTCTTTAGGGAGAGCATTCCAAATAAGTGATGATAGTAATAAATAGTTATAATACGATAATTATGTCTTTATCGTGTCCAAAGCAAATTGAGGATACAGTTATAATGTATAATAAACCACAGTTATAGAAGGCTTTCATGGCCGGAATCTCTGGGTTGCTGTGAGTTTTCCGGGCTGTTCCAGAAGCATTCTCTCCTGAAGTTTTGCCCACAGCTATGGCAGGCATCCCCAGACCTCACAACCTCTGAGGATGCCTGCCGTAGATGTGGGCAAAACATCAGGACATAATGCTTCTGGAACATTGCCATACAGCCCAGAAAACTCACAGCAACCCAGAGATTCCAGCCATGAAAGCCTTTGATAACTGTGTGGTTTTTATACATTATAAAAAATACATTGAATTTCCTTTGACCACTTCAAGTGCCTCTGATGTAACTGTAAAAAAGTCCTCCATTGTGCATGTGCAGGGCTCATACTGCACTGTAGTCAGTTATCTGAGGTTTGCTCTTCTCCACACTCGCATGTCGTGGTCTCCACTTTGTAGTCCTTTCATTGCAATATGATAATAACAACAGTAGTAATAGATGATGATGATGATGATATATAATTATAATTATATAATTATATTATAATAATAAATGGTTATTGAGTCGCCTCTGGCTGAGAAAGGCGGTATACAAATGCAGTAAATAAATAATATAATATAATAAATATCATAGCAATAATATGATAATATGATAATTTGCAAAAATTAAAAAATCCTTTCCTGTGTGGTTAGTACCTTGTGCTTTGGCCACAATTCTAGGCATCCGTGCAAATACACATTATTATTATTATTATTATTATTATTATTATTATTATTATTATTATTATTTATGGAGCCTCCGATGGCGCAGTGGGTTAAAACCTTGTGCCGGCAGGACTGAAACCGACAGGTCGCAGGTTTGAATCTGGGGAGAGCATGGATGAGCTCCCTCTATCAGCTCCAGCTCCACATGCAGGGATATGAGAGAAGCCTCCCACAAGGATGATAAACCATAAAAACATCCGGGTGTCCCCTGGGCAACGTCCTTGCAGACAGCCAATTCTTGCAGTTTCTCAAGTCGCTCCTGACACTACAAAAAAAATAAATACATTATTATTTATTTTATTTTTGCAATTATTATTATTCATATTTGCAGAAATGCAACCACCAAACAAGGAAAGTGGTATCCAAAGTGCATTGTTGAGGCTCCATTGCACTATCTGCCAATGGAGGCTAAATACCTTGCAAAACTACAGCTCCCGAATTCCATAGCACTGAATCATTAAAGTTGAAGAGGTGCATGTCAAACTGCAATTAATTCTACAGTGCAGATCAGGCATGGGCAAACTTGGGTCCTCCAGGTGTTTTGGACAACAACTCCCACAATTATGGGAGTTGCAGTCCAAAAAACCTTGGAGAGCCGAAGTTTGCCCATGACTGGTATAAATGGCATAACTCCTCCCCTGGTCCCAGGCGTTGCATTGCATTGGGCTTCAGAAGGGTTTAGGGAGGGAGGGCAATGGCCGCGGAGGCTTCAGAGCTCTTACTGCGCAGGCGCGGGCGGCGTCCTATCCTGCCCTGTCTACCTCTGAGCCTTGCGCAGGCGCAGAAACCCGCCCCTGGATTCCGGCTTCTAAGCCAAGGATGGCAACAGCAACGCTATTCTGGGAGGAAGGAGGTCGGTGGGCCGGGGTCGAACAGCTGCCCGCCTGCTTTGCAGCTTTTCTTGGCCGAGGGTTTGAAGGCGAGGAGAGAGAAAGGTCAGGGGGGCATCTATACCGTGGGATGAATGCGGTTTGACACCACTTTCACTCTTCCCTGGCTCAGTGCTTAGTGTGACTGGAGTTGTCTTTTTCTGAGGCACCAGGAAGCTTACAACTTCTGTGGTTTCATATTACAGAGCCAAGGAAGATAAAGTGGTGTCAAACTGCATCAATTTTACAGTGTAGATGCACTCCCAATGGGGGGAAATACCTAGCTTAGGGACCCGGCGGTGCCCGGGTTATTTGAGAAAGGCGTTGTTTGTTTTACAAAGTTTGGTAATATCGGTTCGGTAATGTGTGACACTGTTTATTATGGGAAACCCAGTCTTTACTTTTGCTTTTTATGATTGCTCCCATTGGAATATGCATAAGGATGTGCGTGAACTACAATTCCCAAAATCATGCGTCAGTCCTCCCCAAACCCCGCCTGTATCCAAAGTTGGCCAAGATGGGTATGTTTGGTCCAGATCTGATGTTTGCTGGGGTTCGGTGCTCTCTGCATAAGGGTGAACAATAACTCCCAGATCCTAGGTCAGTCACCCCCAGAGTGGACCTGTATGCAAAGTTGGCCATGTTGGGTGTGTGTGCCAAGTTTGGACCAGATCCAAATTCAGCTAGGTTCAGTGCTCTCTGCATAAGGGTGAACTACAACTCCCAATCACCCCCAGAGTGGGCCTGTATGCAAAGTTGGCCACGTTGGGTGTGTGTACCAAGTTTGGTCCAGATCTGAATTCGGCTAGGTACAGTGCTCTCTGGATAAGGGTGAACTACAGCTCCCAGATCCTAGGTCAATCATCCCGAGAGTGGGCCTGTATGTAAAGTTGGCCACATTGGGTGTGTGTGCCAAGTTTGGTCCAGATCCGAATTCGGCTAGGTTAGTGCTCTCTGGATAAGGATGAACTACAACTTCCAGATCCAAGGTCAGTCACCCCCAAACCAGGCCTGTATGCACAGTTGGCCATGTTGAGTCTGTGTGGCAAGTTTGGTCCAGATGTGGATGGCTTCAGTGCACTCTGGATAAGGGTGAACTACAACTCCCAGAGCCAAGGTCAATTAGCCCCAAACCCTGCCTGTATGCATATTTTGGTCAGTGCACCAAGTTTGGTCCAGATCTCATGTTGGCTGAGTTCAGTGCTCTCTGGATAAGGAGGAACTACAACTCCCAAGATCCTAAGTCAATCACCCGCAAACCAGGCCATACAGGCATGGGCAAACTTGGGCCCTCCAGGTGTTTTGGACTTCAACTCCCACAATTCCTAACAGCCGGTAGGCTGTTAGGAATTGTGGGAGTTGAAGTCCAAAACACCTGGAGGGCCCAAGTTTGCCCATGCCTGAGGCTGTACTATACTGAGACCCACATTTATTGACTTGTGTTTTAGTTCTGCTTGTTCTGGCTGGACGTGTGGTTTCTTAAATATGTTTCCTTTCCTCCATTCTTTATACAATGCACAGAAAGCTGAATGGTGGTGGACGAAGAAGCGTTTCCTCTTCCTTGGAAGGGCCAAGCCAGAAGGATGACTCACCAGGGGGCCGTCCTGCAAAGCTACAACAACGAGCTTGTGAAATTTGTGGAGGAGCTGCACTTGCAAAGGGAAGAGCTAAACAGACAAATTGAACAGGAGGAAGAGGAAAAGAAGAAAATCCAGGATGAACTGGAGATGCTGACAAAACAATTGGCCTGCGTTTGTGAACGTTTAGCGTGGAAAATGGCTGCCCGGAAGGAACTCGATAAAATTCTCGCTGAAACAGAAGTTGCTTATGAGAAGATCTTGGAAAGCTCTAAAATGCTGCTGAATGTTTTGAAGAATGAAAGGCTGAATCTGGACAAAACAATCGCGCTAAAAAGTACTGCGGCTGGGGATGGTCCCTTGTTTGGAGCTCAGTCAAACCAACGTTAGACTACATATCTGTTAATCTTGAGTCACATTTGTGTATCGATGGTGCATTTTTAATATCAAGGAAGTCGAAATAAAGTTTTTAGGGATGAAATATTTAATATAAGCATTCATACCCAAATCAATCAAACCAAATATTTATTTACGACCAGGATAGAATCCCACCTTACATCCATTTTTTTGATAGATTGGAGACTGATCAGAGCTTCCACCCTTAGCATCCCGGTTTCAAGCCTGATAAACAAGTTTTGAATAGAAGGTACTTGCAACTAGGTACAATTATTTGAGGTTCTGAAAGTTTAAAAAGGGTGTAGGTTAAGTATTATAATCCTACATGTATTTATATATTTATTTACTGTATTTGTATATTGCCTTTCTCAGCCAATCGGCGACTCAAGGCGGTTTCCAGCAAATCAGTATACATAAAACATAATATAGAAAAAAAACATTAAACACTATAAGACATCACAAAAGCAGTAAAAACAACATCATCAGCGTCTCATTATTCTCAAGCATTGTCCAGTTCCATTGTCAGGTCATTTGATTTCCTTTATTAGCTACACTGTATTTATAAACACTAGCTCAAATAGCCACGTTTTAACTTGCCTCCGAAACGTCAAGAGGGAGGGAGCAGATCTGATCTCCCTAGGGAGGGCATACATACCTTGTTGTTGTTGTTCATTCATTCAGTCGTTTCCAACTCTTCGTGACCGCATGGACCAGCCCTTGCCAGAGCTCCCTGTCGGCCGTCACCTCCCCCAGCTCCTTCAGAGTCAAGCCAGTCACTTCAAGGATACCATCCATCCATCTTGCCCTTGGTCGGCCCCTCTTCCTTTTTCCTTCCATTTTCCCCAGCATAATTGTCTTCTCTAAGCTTTCCTGTCTCCTCATGATGTGGCCAAAGTACTTCAACTTTGTCTCTAATGCATACCTACATACCTACAAACTATTAAACTAGTCTGTCATTGAAGAATGACTGCAGAGAGCTTCTGTATCATTGAATAAAGCAATTAGAATTGAGCATGCCATTGTCTGAAGTAATGCAGCAAATGCAATACCTGACACTAAATTTGGAGGAAAAAGTTGATCTCAGCAGCAAGGTAGAGATTTTCACTCCTTGCAAGTTTTCATACACTGCAATTATAATTGTATATGTCTATATGATTATTTTTTCTTACTTATTTATGCAATATATTTTGTTTATATTGCATAAATAAAGCTGAATACATTTTCAAGGTGTTGTTGAAGGCTTTCATGGCCGGAATCACTGGGCTGCTGTGAGTTTTCTGGGCTGTATGGTCATATTCCAGAGGCATTCTCTCCTGACGTTTTGCCCACATCTATGGCAGGCATCTTCAGAGGTTGTGAGGTCTATTGGATACCTACATAAAGACTCCAACCATCACTCTGATCAAAAGGGCAAGATGGATGGATAGCATCTTTGAAGTGACTAGCTTGACCTTGAAGGAGCTGGGGGTGGCCATAACCGATGTGGGCTGGTCCATGAGGTCATGAGGAATCCAAAACGACTGAACAAATGAACAGCAACATGGAAGCAAATAAATTCAGGTATAGGAAAGTGCAATTGCTTCTTTCATTGCGAAAACTCTACATGTCTTTTCTTAAATTGCAAGGTCATTTCTAGAAAGATACAAGCCTTTTGTGTGGTTGTGGCAATACTTCAGAGCAAACTAGCAAAAACATACTGATTTATTTCCATTAGGATAAAACTTGCACTGTGCCTGAAAATATATTCATTTGGATGCTGCTGGAGTGAATGCGCACTTGCACAGCATGTGCAAAGGCAGGGCTCTTCCTTAAATTAGGAAATAAAAAAATGTGGCAGCTCAAATACTAATAAAAATTATCATATGCATGGCACAGTTTAAGACACAAGGAAAGAGGCTGATAATGAGACAAAATCAAAATCTTATCATTTCCTAAAGTGCTGCATGTTAGGAAGACCTTTTCTGCAAAAATATACCATCTATACCCCTCTTATTCTAAAACATTTTAAAAATGAATAATCTAATGAATAGTCTAACTGCACTTCCTGCATCCAAATCACACTTAGATGGAATATCCTTTGTAATACGTCAGATATTTGGATCTTTTCCCCCAAAGGATAATGGCAGACAGTCATGCAGGGAGGGGATTTGTTCAGCACTAAATTTTTGGTCCCTTCTTTTGAGAGACCAAGATCAGGATACTTTGATTTCAAACGTGCTTGCAAAATAGGGGGGGGGGGGGGTTTAAAAGTTGGCATGCTGTGAAATCATCAGGACTCGGCAGTTCCAGCTTATGATGAAATAATTATTTGTTTCTTTTTGGATTAATTTTTTTTCAAGATTTGAATGGTTGAATCTGTGGGTGAAGAATCTATATATGGCTGGGCAACTGTATTTTAATGTGAAATACTAAGGGGCAGGATGTTAAGCTTTGCACACAGATACAGAAGAAAGAAGAAAGGGAAAATAAAATTACTGAAAGCTTGGACTTCTTGGAGCTGAAACGCAAAATGTCTAGAGGCCCAAAGGCTCCTTGGTTCTTTTTAAAACAACACTCAGAAAGCAAATAGATGAAAACAAGAGGGGAAAAGCACTGTCATGCTAGTTTTTGTGTGTGAAATGTTAAAAGGTACTCATAGGATTTAGGCTGTTAGCAAAAGGAGCGAAAACATGACTAATTTGCTCCAGACTCCGCCAAGTCCAATGTATGCCCGCATAGTATTGAATCTGGGGAACGTGGTGTATTTGATCCCATATGGTTTCTGTTTTGACAGAGAAAGGAGAAGAATTCCCCAAGGCCTCCCACCAGAAGAGTCGTATACCTGTGCCTGGCACACATGTTCTTTTGCTCCACGTAGGTCACTGTTTTTAAAAATATACTTTGATTTCTAGAATATAAACAGTGAGGCTGACACTAAATTTAATTTGCAGAGGCATGTCTCTTGATGGGGAAGGATGGAGAACAAGCGGGTACGCAACAACTGGACTGAGTAAGTTGTTTTTATTGGTGCTTTGAAAAAAGTTAAAATTTATTGCATAGAACAAGTCAAATGGTTAGGTAACTGTTGGTTTTATTTTCCATTTCTAAAACTCTGCGTACAACCGAGTGCCAATAGTGCATAACCCAGAAGCCTGTGATGTCAATTTGAAAACATTTGGTAGGGATGAGTTTTGGGATAATATTAAGCCGCCTAAGCCCTCCGGACTTCAATCTGTCAGTTTCACTCATATCATCTTCCAAAACTAATGTGATAATTCCAGTGATTATTTGAAAGAAAGTGCAAAGTTCCAAGTGACTAAGCCAAATTCGTCCACGCCATAAATACACTCTCAGAATCTGCTGCCTACATAAACAAGCGTGTGGAATAAAGTGTACTTACATCACTCATAAGCATCCTCCTCCTGTTGCTGCTCTCTTAAGAAAGCCTCGAAAGACTGTGTTAATTTATCAAGCTAAATGAGGTCACGTTAAGAGTCAATGCCCATGATTGCAGCAGCTGCTGAGTATCCCTGGCTGGCAGAGACTTTTCTGAATTGGGTGTTCAAAAAGGCAGGCCTACACATCAGGGGCAGTCACCAGGGACCTTCCAGATGTTGGCTGCAATTCCCCTCATTGCCAGCTGTGCTGTCTGAGAGTTATAAGACTTTAGCACATGAGGCAGGCAAACTGGCATTGCAGCTGAATCATCACCTTGGATGGTCTCTGTTGCACAATGTTTTGTGACTTTTAGAAGCCCTAAGTTTTGATATCAGCACTCATCCATGGCTGAGAAACACAAAGAACAAAAACAAATGAAGACCTGGATTCCTCTTGCTAACTTCCATTACCATTTGGTCTTTTAATTCCCAAAATGCCCCAGGCATCATGACCACATTGCTTGATGGATTCTGCAATTTGTGTAGAAGTATCATTTCCAAGCAAATTATCCACACATTTGTACTAGTCTTTTCAGTCCTGCTAAAAAGCTGGACTTCTATATATACGGATAGTATAATATATACGGATAGTAAACCAGCATTTGCAAGGCTTGCTAACCAGACTGGTTTTCCTTTTTGTGCAGCACAGCTGAGACATTTTCTGCAGAGTATACTAAAACACTGTAAGTTGCACGAACGGATTTATATGCTGTATATACTCAAGTATAAGTCTAGTTTTTCAGCCCTTTTTAGGCTGAAAAAGCCCCCCCCCCCAGCTTATACTTGTGTGAGGGTCCTGGCAGGAAGGCATAGGGCAGAAAGAAGGGCTTCCTTCAGCCCCATGCCTTCCTGCCAGGATCCTCATCTCTCCACCCCAGCTCTCCTCCCTCTCCTCCTCTCTCGGCGCAGTGTGCACCTCCCTCTCCTCTGCTCTCGGTGCAACATGAACCTTCCTCTCCTCCTCTATCAACGCAGTGCGTGCCTTCTTCTCCTTCTCTCTCGGTGCCAGTCTTTCCCACTTTTCCTTATTCATATACACATAGCATTTGCCCCAACATGTATAGTTAAAATAAACTATGGTGATTACTGGAAGGATACATAAGTATATTTAAATTGATGAAGGTTACAATAATGGTTTAATCAGAGTTGGGCAGTCTTATCTTAAATTACAGTTTTATGTAAATATTCCTACGGATGCCTCAATTAATGTAATATTATTGATATCTATTTTTATTTTGAAATTTACCAGTAGCTGCTGCATTCCATATTCAAGTCGATACGTTTCCCCAGTTTTTTGTGGTAAAATTAGGTGCCTCGGCTTATATTCAGGTCGGTTTATATTTGTGTAAATGGGTAGATTTTCCAAATTTTACTGTTGCCAAATTTTTCGGACCCTAACATTGAGTGAAGGGATCCCATTTGGGATCAGGACGCACCGTTCAAGAAGCAGTGCCCTAAAGGACCAGGGAACAGAGCTAATGTGCCATTGCTGCAAAGAAAAGCTTAAAGTGGAACAAATGGTGACCTGTAGAATCCATCTGGACGGGTATGGAAACAATCCCAGCCCGCAAGGGTCATATGAGCAGTTGGCACTGTATATTTTCTCTAGGTACTAAAGAATCTGAGATGCCAAAAGAAATTATCCAAGATCCAAACATACAAGTCAGGA